CTTCCTCGTTTCTTGGCCTTTGTTTTTTCTCATTATCAGTTCTTCTACAAAAATTCCTCACTGTTTTAGTCCTTCTGTGATCATATGATATGAATGACTTGATATATTAATAAATCTGTCATTGACCGTGTTCTGTCCACCTGAAAGGACACCGTGTTTTTAGCCGCTAGTATTGCGCGCTAAATTTCTTGGGATAAATGGATTTATTTCATGAAGTATCGTAGAGAGACTTCTCAGCTGCCAAGAATGGAAGTGTAGCCTTAGAGACGAGAGTTGCATGTGCATTTCTCAGAAAAGTAATCAATGTCTCTATAAAATAATCTAGGGTATTAACGTTAATAATAAGCTACCATCCACTTTCACCGGAGGCCATTCACCATTAGTACGGCCGAAAAGATTAGTCGCATTGTTGAGCTTGAATATTCAAGATCAGCCAAGAAGAGAAGATTTACTTTAAATCGTTTTTTTTCGACTTGCCTTACTTTTTATTTTTAGTTATTCTTTTCGACTTACCTTTTTTTCTATTTCGACATAGTCAGAAGGGTTCCTAGGATATGTCGCCACTGAATTCATCTTAAGGGCAATTTTACAAGCTTCATATACTTACTGATCTCATCCCCAGCGATGTAGCACTACTTTTTGGGCATCCGATTTCAAAGGCTTCGTAATCGAAAGGAATTCTGACCGATGATTTATCTAATTTATGAGGACCTAACCTAAAGGAGTTTACATTACATGCGAATTCGTTCGAAATCATAGCTGTGCTCGGAACTTTTCATTCGTTCTGTCAACTGTCTCGTCTAAAACCCTCTTCTCATTCCCAACGCGCATCTCTCCTAGTGTTATGCCAACTTCTGGTTTCCAAACTTTCGTACAAAGCGCCAAAGGTTTTTTTTGCTAATAATGCTTGAATGAAATTTTCTGATGACCTAGGTTATCTTCTGTTTCTGGTTGTACTCATTGCAAACTTAAATGCTAACTTTCTAGTAGATCTCAGCCTTATCGTAGCCATCTTTCCCTTTTTGATTCTGTAATATTTCATCACTACATTTTCATTTCTTGTCCTCAAATAGAACACTTGATAAATTTCACGTTGGGACATTCTCAGGACTGAATGATCCAAGAGTCGTGCTTAGTGGTGTAGACATCCTGGTTTTCCTGTTCTCGTTATCCGTCCCGCAACTGCTTTCATATCCTAAATTCGATGAAGTAAAGGATACATAACAGACATGTCGATTTCTTCTTACTAAAGATCCGCTCCGTCGTATTTTTTCACCAATCGATGATGGTAGTCGTCTAACGGGCGATTAACTCTCATTATCACACATTACAACGCAGCCAAGAGTGTCCCGCTATACATCCGGCACGGAAAAACTCGTGTTCAGCAACAATTCACGCACGAACTGACGACGGACTGGAGAGAACATCGCTCCTGCACTGGTGTGAAGAACACGAAAAGCATCACACTTTTTGTATGAGGCACTCTATCATCACAGTTCTTAGCAGCACCATTCACGGATCCCTCGCCAGGTTCTGCCATTTGTTTGTGGATATGTTTACAGGGTTGCTTTTCAGGTTGTTCTGTATGAACATAAGGCTTATCTTTTGAAGATGACCTTTAACCAGTTCCAATTTACTTCCCAGCTACTTGGCAAGCCTTTGGTGAAATCGGCGTGCGCCATACAATCTGCATGCATGAAACATACTCCCCTGAATTCACTTTTTGTTCAGGGTAAGTACATGGTCGCTTTTCGTCCACGATCAACCCTAATATACACAACTTGGAAACGAATCAGGTAGCCGTAGGATTACTCAGCTCGAGCTTGCCTACACGATGGAGATAACTGAACATTGGGTTTATCATCTATAAGAAGCTGCTTAGAAACAGCCACTCGATCATACAAGTAGGCGAACTCGTTTTATTATCGATGACCTTCATTTGGAATACTCTCTATCTCATAGTCTATTATCTATTTCCTACACATATTCCAATCATGCTTTCTTCACACAAGTGTCGCATTGTTCGATAATATTTTCTGCCGCTTATGCACGATAACCTCCCAAGGATTTACCTCCTCCTCGTGGCCAGGAGGCGTTCCTGGATGTGGGGCTGCGCCGTACGGCTGGAAGATTCATCCCCTCGCATGGTCTCCCCAGCCGAGAGGGAGTCAGGCGTTTCAATCAGGGAGCCCAGTTAAAAGTAAACCAGTGCCAGGATCCGTCACTATCCTGGTACCAAACTAGTCGCATGGTGTCAAATCTCCTTCTGATCCACAAGGGAGGTGACTGCCTCTACTGGTGACGACCTGGGGCAGACTTTAGCCTGGCTGACCTCGGGACTCCACGTAACCACAATGGCTAAACCAGGAAAACTCCGGAGTGGAGATCATGCTGGAGCCTGCACAACTAATGACGAGGAGCCATGCAAGTATCCAAGTAAGTAAGTATGCACGATGAAATCTGAGAGCCTATGTTACCAGTGTCTGGTCTTTGGTACATCGGTTTCATGAAAGTTCCGCTACACGTATTAGTGCCCATCCGATTGTTCGCTTCAAGTACTCCGACGTGAGCCTCATTCCTCACACGACTTTTACAAACCCGGTGACATTCCAGTATTTAGCTCGTACAGTTGTGATTAGTAATAACAGAGAATCTTTGTTTGTTTTCCTCAATTGACTGATTACTAGCTTTTCCTTTACTGTACGTGATACATTGAAAGTCGCCATTAGTAATTTAGGTCTGATTTTGTTGTACCAAGGTCTCTAAAAAAAAATAAGCCCAACAGTACTTGTGAGCCGATAGCGTGAACTGGAACCTGGATGACCATTATCTTTTCTGCTTAATCCTCGATGTTGTTACAAGCTCATTTTGTCATAGGATTTCCTACTGCTCCACCTCCTGACACATGAATACATACCCAGGTCACCCGTCGATATTTTTTGCAAACGTTTTAATAGTTTTAATAGTTGTTTTCGCCTACCATCTGTTAACCGTAACCCTAATATATGGTGAGTAAGAAATATTGTGTAGTAGACGGTTCGTACGACTTTCAACACATGTTCCACTTAGTGCTTCTAGCCTAACAGTGGATTTACCTTGTTCTTTAGTAGGATCTAATATCTCCGAAGAGCGATGCGCTACGGTAGGCAGTCGTATAAGCAAATCCTACACCGGTTACGAGCTCTTGCAATCAGATAATATCCTCTTCGGGCAATTTGGTGTTCAGTAACGTATAGACATACGTATTCGATATAACCAAAATGCCAATAAACTATGCGGGATGCTCTAGAAACACGGTTATGCGCTGGCTTTCGACCAGTCCAATATTCACTTGACTAAGGTCTAATTGAGCGATGGAATAACCAGCCGACGAAGTGGGTCTGCCCGTACAGTGGCGACGAATTTCGCGCATGGTTGAGTCTCCTCCATAACTAGCACATGCACTCACTGATTGCTTAAGCACTCACTGAAGCCGATAGGGCTTTTGTAGAAGAATCTCGAACTCCACTACAAACGTGGTCTAGTCATCCAGTACATTTTAGTTACTGATTAGTATTTCCTTACTGTTACAATCATTCGATGTAGTCCGTTAGCAACCAGATTTTTCCATGGATGCTTCTCGTTAACACTTACAATTCTCTTTTTTCTCCTAATCCTTTCATATCTTGTTTTTATTTAACAATTCTTTCGTTTAATGTTGCCTTATAATCTCTTTCGTAGTAATATTTGCTTCGCAGATCTTCTCCTTTATTTTCAACCCATGTTGCGTTAAAGTCAACAAAGAGTGGCCAGAATATATCCGTGCATGTAGGGGATTATATGTGCTTTAACCGGAGAAAACTAACTTTTTAGACTTTTATTACTGACTTTCATTGTGATTCGCAGCTTTTCTTCAAATACCTGAAGTTTTACTTCATAAAATCAAGGGTTCAGGTATTTCGTGAAAAAATGAAGCTACTATTCTAGTAATCAATAAGACACCATTTTCAAGGGAAATCATCACTTTACTGAAGAAGAATCCTTCACGAAGGTCTCAATCTTTGATGTTGCTAAGAAGTTATTGTGTGAAACCGTTTATTATCTAATATCGAGAGGCACATACTTATGAGGTGGAAAGAGTTGCTGTTCCCAGCTGTTCCAAGTTACTGTATGTGAAGTACCAACGTTGTACACAAGTAGAAAACCCTATGAGTGTTGTCTATACAAATTTCTCGTCAGAAACTGTGGAAAGGATAAACAGAGCGAGCGAAGTCGTCATCATATAGACTTCTTTTCGGCTTATAGGATTATACCGTCATCGACGAAATTAAATACGAATACGACAAGCTTAACCTTTGTCGTCATCTACCATGGTATTGATTTGAAAATCCCAAAAAGCATCTAGTTATTTCTGGTGCGAGGTATTCGCTTTAGCTCTGTTTGTAGAAAAAGAAGTACTTTTATACTTCCACTCTCGGATCATGGATTTCTTTCTTCACTATGTCTTATCAAAGATCTCAAGTTCCTGGGACATGCGTAAACATCACCCAACTGGTAGCAGTTTTACACGATTTGTTACGGGGAAGTGAGTATTGGGAATGAATTTTTAGGTTGGCGAAGCTACTCTATGCTCTGATTTCTATCATTTGCGCACACTATCAAATTCTCGCAAGACAACTGAATAAGAATATCACCGGTACTGCGATTCTTGTCAGCGCTGAAAATGCAGCAGCTGACAGAAATTTCTGTCAAACACAGACTTTATGGGCTTGTGGATGAAGCTGAAGAAATATGTTTAGTATCAACACCTATGCAAATGAGACGATACGATTATATGACGCAGTGATGCTGTGTCGCTTTCCCACCCACTTATAGAACCCGTCTAAGTTAACAAACTCGATCACAGCCTTTTTTTATCGCTTTCGTATCTCGAGTCGTGACGAAATCAGTGACTATCAATTCTTCGTACTATATTTTCTCACTATACACTTCGAAAAACGAAATGAAGCGACTTTAGCGTAATGCCTGGCACTCGTCTTCTGAAACGCGACTGGGAAAAAGACCACGTCTACCTGGTGCAGTTTCCGCGAGCCGGCTGTATTCCGTCTCCGTCGCCGTTCTCACTGAAAGTTGAGACATGGCTTAGAATGGCCGATGTTCCTTACACGGTAAACTTACAAATAAGATTAGAGTGCATTCGCAAAGTGCCTGCGTTAAGCATCATCGGGTCAAAGTGAAATCCGTGCATTTGAGAAAACAAAAGCTGATCTACCACGAAAAGAAAACCCTAGTCTCCAAACAATCCAAACCATGCAGCAAATCACAGACGATGAACGTTCTCATTAACTAATAGTTCATTACTTCAAGATGGACTTTTCAGAATATTAGCAACCAATTCACAAAGATGTCAACCAAAGGTCAGATTCCGTTTGTAGAGGTTAATGGTCGACAAGTGGCCGACAGCAACTTCATCATTGACCATCTTATCGAAGAATTTCACAAAGTGCGTTAGTGATAAATAATGGATATAAATATTTCAAAACACTGACTCAGGCCCGATAAACAAAGTGGATCTGGGGAGTAATTATTAATATAAGTCATATTTGGAGTTTTAGAGCTATGTGATAGAACTATGCAAAGCTAATGATCAGTTTCCGTATTATCCCATGGTTTCTAACTAGTCATTTTCTTTAAAATTAGCTCGCTCAATAACTTATGTTTTCATAGTTTCAAACTCCCCTAATGCTTAACCGCCTTACCGTAAAGAGGGGATGTTCCTAGGTGTCGAATTGCAACGCACAACAGTGCGACCAGCCTTCCACCAAGGTCACCTAATCCAAGAGGATCATTGTTACCATCTGGAGGCCTAGCCAAAGGTAAACCAATCCCAGAAGTCACCATCATCGTGCTGATAGGAACATTATCGCAAATCCACAAACCAAGCTACGTTCCATAAATGTCGATATCCATCGCTGACGACGGTATGGAATGACTTGGGTTGTCCAACGAATAAAAGGAAATACTCATGTCGAAGTTATGCTGACTCTCGCACAGTTCTGCCTAAAAGCAGATCATTCGAATATCCAAGTAATTCGAAAATAAGGCATATACCGTCATACCACATAGCGTTTTCAAGTCCTGAATGAGTACCGGTTTCGGATTTCAGAAAAATATCGATGACCGACTAACACCTATCGAAAAATCTTATGCGAGAGCATTTCATGCGCTTATCGAAGACAGCCTTCGATGGTGAGCAACGGTCACAGACTTATTACTTATCACTAAAAATGGCAAAACGTCCACTTTAGGGCGTTGATCTATCAACGAGCGCGCGACAACAAATGGTTAGCTAGTGAGCAGGGATTTCTGTCACACTTTAGTGGTGTGAAGAAGTTGGCTTTCAAAAACGTGTTGTGCGAGAGACTGCGTAAGCGAGTAAGGCTTCTGTACCAGGTTTTTTCTTGTCTACTAATACTAAACTATTAAACTGCGTATATTATAGATTATGAATGCTGTGATGGCACAAGGAATAGCAAGAAATACTCCCGAAGAAGTGGTTATACTGGCGAAAAAGGATCTCGACGCGATGAGCATCTTTCTTGGCAATAAGAAATATTTCTTCGGAGACAAGCCGACAACGGTAAAGATCATTTTGTATCGTATATATTAAGTATCGTATGAAATTTATTGATTGATAGCGATTAAGCTCGACTGTACGATGTTTGCATTTCTGTCGCAGTTCATCTACACTCCGCTTGTCACTCCAGAAATCAGGACGCACATGGAACAAAATAATCAGAATCTGGTCTGTTTGAAATGGTTTTTGACAAGATTTGTTTTGACAGCACACCATTTCTACCGGTTAAGTGACTCGATCAAAACACTACTGGTACTGACTACTGCCAGTTTGGAGGCAATAGCAATCACTGGCTGATTTAGCACCATTTCGTGGCGTATTCAATCCCTTCGACGGAACCTATGTGCATGATGTACTCCACCCCATGATGTTCATAACTGGTCTATACTGTGCCAAGGCGCACAGTGGAATTCAGTTTTGATGTAAACCAATTACAGGTCAGTTTTGTGAATCGAATGAAAGACAACTATTGGTCGGACTGGGAGGAAGCCACGAAAAATCTTAGCATGGTTACCAAGTGGAAGAAGTGAGCAGAAATCACGTGGCATAAACCACTCCACTTTATTCCATCGCATAATTTTGATCTGCGCTTACTTGTTGCAATTCTCTCTAAAGGACACGGACAAGAGTAAAAAACCTATTTCTTATCCTTAATGCAGCTCCTAATGTTGTGAATTCAATATGCTTACTTCAATATGCATAGTGTATATGCATCTAAGGCAACAACGTGGTTGAACCGACAACTAGACGGATTTTAATCTTGGAATATCGATGTCATTCATGCTACAAAACCTGCCCGTCTTTGAAGACGCTGGGTGCAGATGTCTATGAAGACACGATTTCAAAGCTTACTTGTGGTTACCGTAACCAGTAACCATTCACTTGCTTTTTCCTTGACTTTGTCTGATCCTATGCATATATCAGCTGACACATTCTCTTTAAATATATACATTACTTGTGTGTATGTGTTTTCATTACTGCCAAACGGATATAATGATACCCTCTGTCTTTACTATTTTGGTTATGTTTACCCCTGTTTAGGAGAATATAAATAAAACTTCAAAAAGTATTTTTGCATTAGTTTTATTTAATTACATATTATTATGTTATAAGGTAATAATTGCCATAAAAAGGTCAACAAATTAATGACATAAAATTCAAGAAACTGTAGTTAAAGAACCATAAACTGTTCAAGGATAATATCACGTAACTTGAGATAAGATGGACCAGCGCATCCTTCAATATGAAAGCGACCAGCCTCATTACGACGAATTGAGATCACTCCTAAACTAATAACGGTAGCTTACTGGCTTCTTCGGTGCCGCAAAAGTCTGAATTCACGTTATTTGTAAAACTACTGAACTTTACTTCACTCCTTACGTTAGATATATGCATGGAAGTCTTTAAAAAAGTTGTGCTATTGAATTTCGACAACCTTAAGGTGAAATATTTAAAACTTTTACAAAAACTGTACAGGAAATAAGATCACTTATTTGTATGAAAAGGCTCAAATCTTCTAACATTTTCATAGCTACCGCTTATATCATTACCGGTAAGAAATAATAGAAAGCGTAAAGCTCCCGGCGTTTGTCACTCGGTGAGAGAATGCACTAAACATTCGACTTCATTAAGCACCATTGGAGGTGAATGAATGTGTATCTGGTCTTTAAAATGACTCGCGGTGGCCTACCAATGTATCGAGCCAGTGCTGCTATCCTTCCAGACAAGTTTGGTACCAATTTAACGACCCCGGAGTGATGGAGGGCTTGGTGAGCCAGTGGCGCGGAGACCGATGTCACGTGTATTGCAGAGCGCCCCCGACCACTGCGCTAGACGAGCCCCGATACAATGATTAACGACAAAAAGCATAATGAATAGCACAGTACCGCAACTGCATGTAGTCTACACTATCTGTTGAGTCTAATAAACTTTGTCATAATGCATGCCGTCTTCTTCCTTTTCACTTGATTAATAGCCAAACATTTCCAAGCAGAAATTTTGGAGGAGATAATTGAACTCAGTCAAATATAACATTTCATACTATCCGTCAAACCAACTTCCAATTCTATATCAATCTTATATCCGCATATAACAGATTGATAGTCAAAAGTTTTCAAGGTATGGCACTCATATGCACCAAAAATTTTATGAATTAATTCCTAAAAAAGCCTCGCCAAAAACTCATCAACAACTAAGAAAAGCCATTAATTTGAACGAAAAATTACCTCCTATATACAAGACTCCGGACGAAAACTCCGCTGAATAACCCATGTTGATAAGCAGTTGTTTCATTTCAGAAAGCTTCGGATCGTTTACATAAACAACCTATAGACAAATATTAACATCACTCCATCCATAATAAAGAATAAAAATACAAATGAGACGAAAATCAGGATACTATTAGTTCCACTGACCTCACGAAATGGAGCATCACCACTCAAAGAGCTCAGCATACACTTGTCGATATGCTGTTCGGTGAGGTGTGCACCTGTCGTTTGCTTAGCAACCTGAAAATAAAATTTTTCTTAGAAAGAAGCGGTGCGCAATTCTGACTACGAATAAATCCAAGGGAAAAGCAGTAATAAACTAGGAGATTTGAAACATTTGCCTCTTTGCCAGCTTCTTTCTCCACTCCCACCTCAGACGGCCGTGCTGTTATTTGAGCATCTATCCAAGCAAGATCGGCATCTTTGACCTGTAGAAAACAACAGTTCATTAATAACTACTTCAAATATTTTCCTTCTAGCCTTCGGAAAGTGTAATCGCCGTTATCCGATCTGGCCTGGGGTCTAAATTTTGGATATTAAATTTTGGATATATCTCAGTCTTATTGTGGTTGTATTTCACATAATACCTTGCTGCAAAAAAATAATGGGCAATAGGTAGAAGTTACACATTATTTTCTTTTTAATGTCACAATACAAACAAACTGGTGAAAGTTAAAGAAGATTTTGGCAAGGGGAAAAAAGAATTTGAAGAAATATTTGGTGAACTTCCTTCATGCTAGCTCAAAGAACGAAAAGTAAGCTGTAGATGCAGTACAACTATTAGTGATCTAAGACTGATTTAATATCATAAACATACCTTTATGAATTCTAAACTATCAAATAGCTCATCATTCAATAGTATACGGTAAATATGAGAAGCCACAGTTGCGTCCACCACCTCTCCGATTGATGGAGTAAAAATGTGACCCTAGAATATGACGAAGATGAAGGTGCAAATAAGTACAAATGCCATCTTAAATGAATAACGATGTTTACAAATAAAGTGTAACTGAACTCTTTTATTGCTAGGCTGACAAACGAATGTAAAGAGTAAAACTTGTAGGTCGTACCCTAATCAATAAACAGCAGTTCACAGTCTCCCCCCAATAGTTTGCCCCATTGTCGTGGTTGGGAGGTTTCCCGGGTGTCGGGCTGCGGTGCACAGCAGGGGTATACACCAGCGCAACATGGCCACCTATGCTGAGATAGAGTCCGGCGTTTCCATCAAAAAGACCAATTAAGAGTAAACCAATACCAGGATTCACCACTGCCTTGGTATCAAACTGGTACCAAACCTCCAATGGTGTTTAACGAAGTCGCACGGTGGCAAATCTCCCACTGATAAACAAGAGCGGCGACTGTGCGTGGGTGAAGACCTGGGGTAGAGTTGGCCAGGCTGGCCTAAGGACTCCATAGAACCACAATAGATAAACCAGCAGAACTCCAAAAAAATGGAAACCATTCCAGGGTCCGCGCAACCAGTGAAGTCAGGCCATCCAAGTATCCAATAAGTTCACGGTCTCTAAGGTTGACAGAAAGCAATTATTAAGAACAAAACGAACCTGGAAATAACAAAAAAAAGTCTACCTGGGTAATATTATTGTCATAACAATGCTGTGCAAGATGTCGGGTGGCCTGTGCGGATCCATGGACAAGAATCAATTGCTTCGGTTTCATTTGTGCGATAAGCTTTTTCGTCGACTCACCGTCAGATCGACCTTCAAACTCGATGTACTCCACGTTACAACTGACCTATGACGTAGACACGACATTTGAATGGATTACTAGTATTAAGCACCACTTAAGCTCTCGTTCAACTAAAAGAAACTCACGAACTATGACTTGACCAAAGCTTAACGCTCTTCGGAAAACAAAACTATAAGGCGGATCTTGTTATCAAACCAACCTCAATCTTCTCAATAACTGTAATGCACTTTGTAGGCGCATCGTCAACCACGGGCACTGTCATATTTGCAGTTGGATCGTCAGCCTCTTTAATAATCTCTTGTGGAACAGGCAAATGAACACGTAGTTTCGAAACCGTATAATCTTCGGGACGATATTTCTCACCGTAAACGTCCCACTAAAATAGAAGAAAATGGAAAAATTTCATATTGCCCCTGCTAAGTGGATAGATTGACGTTACCTTAACTTTCTCCTCAAGAACAGGATACATTGGAAGCATGATTGGCATAAATCTCTTAAAGAATGGCATCCTAAAAGAGTCATATATATAGTGTGTACATACATACGTTTATATGTATGTACGCATATACATATATATGTACTTGTATATACATATATACATATGCACGACAGCTTGTACCTGTACCGCATCATGGCTTGCATTGTAATGTTATGTCTAACCGGCCGACGTTTCCTCGTCGGAAAAGTTGGACCAGTTGGAACGAATGCGGGAGAAACGTTAAGATTCTCCGGTGCTTTCGCTGAAGCCATTGTTAATCCAGGAATAGCTAAATAGTAACTAAATAAATCATGCTTAGAAAATTCTATTACACCCTTGGCTTGAAACTCACCGCATGATTCCTCTTCAGGATCAACTTCCTTCTTTATTTCTGCAGACGTTTCGCTACGTTCCGCTACACTACTGATTGTTGGAGTGTGTTCATTGTTTCGAGCAGCAGCCGCCGCTGCTTGTTGCTCCTCTTCCCGTTTCTTTTTCGTGCACAGAATTTCAACGGCAGCTAACGCACTGGCCATCATTTCGTCATCGTCATCCGAATCGTAGCCACGTAGTTCGGCCTGTCGCTTCTCGTGCTCCTCCATTCTGAAAGATTAGAACGATTAAACCGGACACTACGGAACAATCACCAACTAATTTTTACCTTCGGCGCGACTCCTCTTTGTCCTTTTGGGCCTTCTTCTTCTTATAAGCTTCTAGTTCTGCACCTTCTAATCGCACCCTCTTCTTCACTTCTAATGCTACTATACGATTAGTCCGCGAGTTCGTTGCCAAGCACTCAGCCATGTAGATAAGCTTTGAACATAGAGTACGTTCACTGGATCGACCTAGAATTTCATAACAATTTGTATTTAAGAACATCAAATCCAGATAGTATTTAATATTTCGTTGAACAATACGGACTCGACTAACAGATCACTGTCATATCCATATAGAGATGCAACAAGGACCAGTAAAGCAGCATAGCCATGTGGACCATAACAAGAACGACTTCACAAAGTTAAACTTTGCATTTCAAAGATCGACCTTCCTTCAAGCTTGGTATGACTAATCAACATGTATTCATCCACTGATAAGCTAACACGATGTTGATAAGAATGATACTGATAATGATACCGATTGCTGCATTAAGACCCACAAAGCGAAGACGAGTGCATGTGGACTATCGGACTCGGATCAACGACTCTGAAGAAGACGTCGAAACGTTAGCCGAATAATTTTTTTTTATCTATTAGATGTTATTCTATTCTATTAGATGTTTTATTCTATTAGATGAAAGAAGACGTTAGTCTTCGCGTTCTACCAGTAATTAAACACGTGGGTGTTTTCTCGGCTTCATGTACTCTAAAAAATGCACTGATAAAAGTCGATGATAGGTGTAGTGCAATGCCGTTTATCACAAGCATTAGAAAAACCGATATATACTACGAAACACTTGAATCTTTCTTTCCACTTCTGTTCAGAAGACTATATACTCAGTCGAAGACTCATAGAAAGCGGCCCTGAGGAAGGCGAAATCCGCCGAAACGTCAGCTTTTACGTGAGTGAGGAAGTGGAATAGCACCTCGTGTTTGCTGAACAGAAGTGGAAAGAACTGTTTAATCAATGCCGAGGTTAATAGAAAGTCGGACGTGGGAGTTACTTGAATCTTTCTCCAGTGCAGCCGTGATCCAGTTCTAACAAGTAGAAACCGCCGAGAGCTTAACTTGTTGGACGAATTTCTATTCCTTCTCTTATAACAAACCAATCCCAATTTTCCTAGTAATCTCATAACACATCTAAGTAACTACTGCGAATTTCCGATAAATTATGTTAGTCACGTTAGCAACCTTATATAACGCTTATTTCCTTAACAATAAGAACAATGGAGAGCGTGTAGCGCAGCGGTCGGAGCCACCCTGCATCAATACACATGGGATCGATCCTACCGCCCCAGGCTCAGCAAGCTTTCCATTCCTTCGGATCGGCAAACTGGTACCAGACTTGTCTGGCAGGATAGCAAAATTGGCTCGATACATCGGTACGTCACCGTGAGTAATTGTAAAAGACCAAATATGCATTCAATCACCTCCAACGATGCTTAAGGAAAGAAATCGAATGCATGGCGCATCCTTAAGGGATTTAATAAAGCCGACAGCTTTATTCTTTTACGTCCAATGGTAAATGCAAAAAAACACTACTAGACTGTATGTAGTGGCTCGCGATAGATCTTATGAAGATAAATGCGAGCTGATGCGTAAAATGATTGAAGCAAACCGCCTAAAAATGAATTTTATCCAGCACCTCGCTACTCACCTGTGATAATAAAGGAGTTCCTGCTGTCCCCACACCAATCCAGGAATAATTCACGAGAATAACCGCATTCCATGTCAATGCCGCTGCATAAAACAACCTTAAGCACTAGTCATTTACAGAATGACACCAACAAGCACAAATTTTATATTTACAACTAACCTTAGGTGATCTAATTCGTGCCAAATCAATTTGTGAATGACAAAGTTTCACATTGCGGAGAAGGAACGGATTTGTTTGACCCATTTCGAAACTCCTGAAGAAGCTTTTATGTAATGCACTAGGTCAGTTGCGAACTATATTCATTTATTCTGAAGATGTACTCTAATCGGATTTCATTTCAGCCTGCAATGTCATTATCACATTGTTCCATAATCAATGCTCAACATTAATGTAGATACCGAATGCACTCTTTAACTCTTAGACAAAAAACTCTAGTTCTGAAATGACGACATCGAAGTTGATGACGTACTTATCGTTAACAGAATTTTCAAGAGTTCGGGAAAGCTGCAAAGCACATGGTGATTGGCAGTAGGCCCTATCCAAAACGTGGAACTATTTCCCAGACATGCGTTTTCATTTGTTGAACAAACATCCTACCGCAGTGTTGTCATCGAGTAAACGATGTCGCTAGCTGCAACGACACTCGAATCCATCTGGCGAAGGTGAATTGAAAAGAGGTTTGCATTGAGTGTCTTATCTTTCAGCAGCAACTCGCAGTCCCACCAGCAACACTAGGAAATGTGGGCCGGCAGGAATGTGGACACAGTCGCAATCTAGTTAAAGACTGTTCAACCACGGAAAGGAAGTATGTCGTAATGGTGAAAAACAGCTATCACCTTGTCAGAGTACTCAGAAACTTCTTTTCGGGAGATTAAGGACAGTAGCGATTGATGGGCCAGCACTTGAGCAGCTCGATTGGTGTACCTCAACTGGTGCGAAGTGTACCAAACGCTGCCATTTTGTAACCATAGAGCATATAGGCCCTCATCGACGGTGAAGTGGTGACCAACAAGTGTCCCTAATAACTCATGCTGAGTCAAGTCCGAATGTTCTTCCAAGAAACGTTGCAGCCCGTCCTATCGTCGAGAATAACCGATCGAGACCAGATCCTCGATGTTTGGTAAAATTGTTTTTGCTGCACTTTTTCAAAATCCTGAACTCAAATTTCGTCGATGGGAAGACCTTTTGAGGTAATTCATAACGCCGATATATAGGAAGAAATGATTTTTTCCAAAATTTTGCATTAATTTCCACTTCACAACTCGATAATCCAAGTTTGTACGCAAGTCTATGGAACTATATGGTGCAAAACAATGACATACTTTAAGACTTTGTCTGACATCCACTCCACTTGTGATTTCGCGAATTCGACAACAGACGCAGCAACGTGGCTCATCATAACTAGGTTATACTTTTGCAACCCGGACTGTGTACTGAAATCTGCTTAATTGATTAATTTCATTTTAAAAATAGACATCGAATATAAAAAAAAGTCAACTCACTTGGCCCATAACTGATCTAACAAATGAGCGATTTCCAGTACACGACCAGCGGTATCAATAACAATAGCACAATCACCATTTTGTCGAACTGTTCTGGAATACGAAGTATACAATTGACAGAGCCACTGAGATAGCATGTATAGCACTAATCCCATAAGTAGTTGAAGAGAAAATATCGAAATGTTTCGTTGAAGTTATAGGAAAATAAAGACTGAAACAGCATAAGTCCAGAAATGTTCCTTTACAAATGTGGTATTGCTCAGTAGAGAATTTCATGTACTCAGACCATCCACAACGAATTGCGCATAGAAAAACCGTACCATTACACTGTGTCGAGATATGACAGCCTCACTCCGCAAACCTATTTATTCTACTATCATACATTAACAAAAAAGTTTCAGAAACTGCTTTAATTTCAAACAAACTAGAATTGAACCACAGTCTCTGTTACCGGTTGCAATGGTAAGGAAACGATTTCTAGCACCTGACAGCTCGAATGACACTTACTTGAGTATCGTTGTTACTAGTTGTTCATCTCGTTCCTTCCTTCTCGGTTGAGTGTATAGAGCATTCAGAGAATCAGTTATCAACAAATAAGGTCTGAGAATTGCTAAAGATATCCAATATTTGAGCCTTCAAAGGCATATGCCCAGTAATTGCTATGTGACCAAACTAATATAGGAGATAGTTTTCTTCATCGAGATTACACAGCCGATGTTCAGAAGAGAATGAAACATACTGTCAAAGGAGCATCCATTAAGATGCCGTTCCTTCTTGTGATTATAGTCGACTGCATAAATAATATCTTCTTCATCATGCCGGGTGATTCTCCACATTGCTCCACCGATCATATGCCCAGCAGGCAGTGCTGTTATTTTGATCTGACTATCACCTCGAAGAGGGACCTACAACCACCAAAAATTCACTTCCACAAAGAAACCTGTAGACTATAGCACACTTTCATCTAATTGGGATACCGAGCTTGATCATCAATGCCATAGTAGAGCAGTTCGTGTGGCATGTGGCAGTTGGAGGCGCCCTGCAACACATACTTGGAATTGATCCCCACGCCCACGGCCCACCAAGCCTTCCATCTCTTCGGGGTCGGCAAATTGGTACCAGACTTGCCTGGGAGGATAGCAGCACTGGCTCGATACATCGGTAGGCCACCGCGAGTCATTGTAAAGACCAGATATGCACTGAATCACCTCCAAACGATACTCAATGAAGGCGAATGCACGGCGCATCCCTCAAGGATTGGTCAACGCCGAGAGTTTTTTTTAAACGTTAACTTGGCAAAATTTCTCCTCGTTGTCCTGAGCAGCGCATCTACTGCCGTTCCCAGGTTCACTTCAGACAGTCACGCTTCTTCTGTATCCGAGGAAGGTTTGTCAGAATACGGGAGGGAACGTGACAAATAATCTGTCAAATTTAAGAGTATTAATTCAATTCTAAAGTCCATTTACCGTTTGATTGAATTTGAGCTTTTGAATACGATCAAATGCCACATCGACATCATCAAGGGTGAATAACTCAAAGTTTTCGACGCTCATTAAGCTATTAATCCAGTCATACATAAACATCATCCCCATTTTATACACTGGTACCTAAAAGGATTCAGCTGTCAACTTCACTTATAGAAATTAACCATAAATTTAATAAATAAAAAGAAGCTGGTCTCACCGTGCAATAAATGGGAGCTCGGAGATCGCAATACTTTACGAGATATGCTAATGCGCCTAAGTGAGGTTGATCCGGATGCGTGATGAGAACTGCACTGATCTAGAAATTCTGACCTTCGTGATATATACTGTTAAGCCAAAGCAGACGAACGGTGAAATTTGACCCTCAAAACGTTAGGCTCAATGTTTTAGTGAGCTATAACGCTTGCTACCCGATACTTGAACAGCCCGACCTCACTAGTCTTGCGGGCCCCAGCATAATCTCCATTCTTCGGAGATTTGCTGGTTAAGCCATCGTGGTTCCTTGGAATCCTGAGGTCAGCCTGGCCAAAGTATGCCCCAGGTCTTCATCACCACAGGCAGTCGCAGCTCTTGTGGATTAGAGGGAGATTTGCCACCATGCGACTTTAATGCCAGGACGGTGATGGGTCCTGGTACTGGTTTACTCTTAGCTAGGCTTCCCGATGGAAACGCCGTACTCCTCAGCTTGGGAGACCCTGCCATGGAGATGAATCCCTCCGCTGTACATCGCAGCCCGACGCCCAAGAACACCTCCCGACCACGATGAGGCGGTAAAGCGTTGGGAGGAATGAGCTATAATAGAGGTGTAAAGTGTGTTATGGTCATTGTATATATCCTTCCTTTGATAAGCTTATAAGAGGTTGACAATTTTTATTCGGCTAACGTTCCGAGGTCTTCGTCTTCATCAGAGCCAGTAGTTCGAGTCGATGGTCCACAGTTGTTCGTTTTTTCAATAAGGCGTCTTCGTATCAAAGATCCGACTCGATACGAAGATGAAGACGCCCTACCGAGATCATCGGCTCTGATGAAAACGAAGACGTAAAAACGTTAGCCGAATAAAATCTACTTAGCAGCCTCGTATGAGCTTATCAAACAAAGAATACATATTGATTAGTTATACCGAGGTTAAAGGAAAGTCAATTTTGAAATATAAAGAATGTTCCATCGAAAAATTGACAATTAGAAAATGGTAAACTACGAAATGAAACAACCACTTCTGTATGACCAAAAATAGACAACTGGGCATTTAAGATGCTTCGGCAGGTCGAGCACAGAAACCCACGTTATTGCCGAAAGGAAACGAAGTTTTCAAGCGTCGTTGTTACTACGTTTCAAATCTCATGTTTTCTTCCGACTTCACTCAAATCACTTGATCCAGAATTTCCGTAACTCCAAATCTGTGGCATTTTTAAGATTTTAAATTAGGTTAACTCAAGTTAAGTCCTTGTTTTTTAAAGACCGTTTCGCAAATTTAACTTTCCCTTGATTCATCAGGCTCAAGACTGAAACTATAGAGGACTGTTTTAAAAAAAGCATAGAAATTAAAGAAGCGCTCCTGGTTAGGAACACGAATATAGTCCAGGAACGGGTCTCCAGGAAACTAATTTTCTAAAAATTACCTGAGATATTCGTGACCTTATGGACTCGATATAACCCATATCAAATTTTTCGTCCCAACCACAGTCCAGTAATAGAAAGGTCTCCTCTATCTAAATTCACTTTAAAAGTAGTACAATCCAAGGCATTTCTGAACTTAGAAGGCATATGAAATCACCCATATCAACGAACTAGAACTCCTCTGTTGATGCACTTACCTGTAATAAATAACAAAGAGGTCCTTCATCCTTCACACCAGATAACGGCTCCACTTTCACTACGGATGACATCTAAAACAGTTCTATCAAAGAGTAAATGAACTTACTGAATAAAGGAAAACTAAGATGGAATCAAAGAGCGAGTCTATTATTCATTAGAAAAAGAACTAGAAAAGAAAGAAATATTAGTTTAGAAGAGATTAGAAAACAAAAGAATTAAAAGGAGAAGAAAAACGGAATAGAAGGAAAAATTAGAAAACTTAGAAGAGAAAAGAAATGACTTTAACAAATAAAACACACAGTGGAAGGTATAAGGTGCTAAGTAGAAGAATAACAACTGTGAGGAGCAAATAAGCAAATCTTTGAAGGGCCAAAAATCACTATGAATTCTATCCCATTTATATACCTGCTAGAAGGCGATAATGACAAAACGCAATATATATATATATATAAAATATATGACGTACAAAGTACGTAAAGATGATAAAGGATAAAAGATAAAGCTGTCAGCGTTGATAGGTGCCTAAAGGATACGCCATGCATCCAAATCCATTCGTAGCATCGTAGAGGTGAGTGAACGCATACGCATCCTACGACATTCAAGATGAAATGAAAATCGTCAATCAGCAGACGAAGTCACACGTTAACGGTGGAAGACCCTAGTGGATGACGGACGCGAGGAAACGAAGCGTATGTGGGAACTGCTGGGATTTGCACTGTAGACATGAAGACGGGTCGTATAAAATAGAAGTAATTGAAAAGTTTTCTTAACCGATAAATTCAAATCAGATCTCCAGGCAACACTACCGCATTGGATAAGAATGCTTCACCACAGCGGTGGTTTCTGGAACCCCTGGTCGTCGTGTGACTTCGCCGATCGCAGACTCCTGCTGCACAAAGTATCTGATCGCATAAAAAAGTCTTGGAGATGGAGATGTTTTATTTCAATGCGACATTTTCCATCGCTCACCGATTTTTTGGGATTTCACAGTGTGGACAAACACATGCTTCCGGTTTGCCCGCCCCAATGTGATCTCCTGGTAGAGCCGACATTTCAGTCCTGCGAGGATGTTTCGAAGTCCTAAACAATTGTGAAAAGTGAACGAAGTATTCTGGTGGGTTAGAAAGATTAGACGATAAAGCAATTCGGTAATGATCTATCTCCGGTGAACTAAGCCATGAGTTCTACTTCACTAAGGCTCGTTGGAGGTGACTTAATGCATATCTGAAGTACACAACGATCCAAGGTGACTTAGCGATGGGTCCAGTCAACCCTGCTATCCGTCTGGTACCACTTTGGAGAGATGAAGGAATGAAACTCCTGGCGAGCTCAGGGCACAGGATCGAACCAAAGACCAGATGTCTATACGGTGCACAACCACTGCTATGGATCACTCTCTGGCAATCTACGCTTTTATTTAGTAAGGGTAACCGCGGTACGCACTATTCATGGGATCTGTTTAGAATGTCCCATCCTAAACAGCAGTGGTTGAGCATTCTTATCTAATGCAACAGTATTGTTTGGAGAACGGAGTCGAATTTAAAAGCTAAAAAAGATACAGCTCCTTGCGTTGGTCAATCACGGAGGGACGCAACATGCATTCGACTTCATTAAGCATCGTTGAAGATGAATGAATGTTTATCTGGCCTATACAATGACTCGTGGTGGCCTACCGATGTATCGAGGCAGTGCTGAAACTCTACTAGACAAATCGAGTGCCAATCTGCTGACCCCGGAGGGATGTAACGCTTGGTGAGCCTGAGGCGCCGGATCGAAGATGTGTATTGCAGGGCGCCTCTAACCACTACGCTACACGACCCTACGTGTAAAATCTACAAAATACAATACGCAAGTGATTATAACAGTCTTCGTTAATAGCCATAAAGTTCCGCAAAAATAGGAGACTACACGTATCCTGAAACGAGGATACTTTGTATGGAATTTTTATTCAAGACAGTAGACTTATCCGAAAAGAAGAATGTATTGTCCGTAGTGGAAGAGAATACTCCTTATTCACGTCTATATCATCTGCGTTATCCAGGTGACTGTCGGCTGAGATTTTCAGGATTAAGGTAGAACTATGTTTATGCTCATTAACGGAATGAAGTTGTTTGGCATGGATTGCTAACGAAGAAACAGCTGTCTCTTGCACTTTATGAGGACTTTGTCATATTTCAGTTGTGTTGATACTCAGTAGTTTCTTCGACTATTAAGCTAAGACGAGGCTGATAAAAAGATCTATTCGGGTAACGTTTCGACGCCATCGTCTTCTTCAGAGTTGGATTGATCCGAGTCAATGGTTCATGGGTGGTCGTGCCGGCGAGAATGTTTAATGACTGCTGTTTAGGATGGAAAGGAGTGATGAATAGACCCATGAACAATGCGTACCCCTGTTAGCCTTACTAAATAAAAGCGCAGATTTCCACGCACTGATGCATAGTAGTGGTTGTGCACTGTATAGATATCTGCTCCATTCCTCCATCTCTCCAAACTCTCCAAAGTGGTACCAGGAGGATAGCAGGGTTGGCTGGACCCATCGCTAGGTTACCTTGGATCGTTGTGTACTTCAGATATGCATTCAGTCACCTCCAACGAGCCTTAGTGAAGTAGAACTCATGGCTTAATTCACCGGAGATAGATCATTACCGAATTGCTTTATCGTCTAATCTTTCTAACCCACCAAAATACTTCGTTCACTTTTCTCAATTGTTTAGGACTTCGAAACATCCTCGCAGGACTGAAATGTCGGCTCTACCAGGAGATCACATTGGGGCGGGCAAACCGGAAGCATGTGTTTGTCCACACTGTGAAATCCCAAAAAATCGGTGAGCGATGGAAAATGTCGCATTGAAATAAAACATCTCCACCTCAAAGACTTTTTTATGCGATCAGATACTTTGTGCAGCAGGAGTCTGCCATCGGCGAAGTCACACGACGACCAGGGGTGCCAGAAATCACCGCTGTGGTGAAGCATTCTTATCCAATGCGGTAGTGTTGCCTGGAGATCTGATTTGAATTTATCGGTTAAGAAAACTTTTCAATTACTTCTATTTTATACGACCCGTCTTCATGTCTACAGTGCAAATCCCAGCAGTTCCCACATTCGCTTCGTTTCCTCGCGTCCGTCATCCACTAGGGTCTGCCACCGTTAACGTATGACTTCGTCTGCTGATTGACGATTTTTGTTTCATCGTGAATGTCGTAGTATGCCGGTTGGGTCGATTCTAATTGGAATCCATAGATAGCCAGGCTAGAGCGTTTCCAACTGGATTGCAGAGAATGGTTTTTCCCGGACAAATCCGGTATCAATTTCCCGACCCCGGAGGGATAAGAGGCTTGGTGAGCTTACAGCGTGATCGAACCAACGCTGTGCTCATGATGATCAGCATCACTAGCCCTGTGCTATCTGCCCCGTGTCAGTGAGAAATCGAAATTGAATTGGAGAAGTTCTGATATGCTTTGAAAAACTGCACCGGAAAGTGTTATTTCAGGTCTTCCTTGCTACCCTTGTCATAAAGGATTTCACATGAAGTGTCAATCTTACATACAAAATCCTTTTAATTTTTGTAGCAGTGACAACTGCTTAGTTATTAGAGGATTTTGGAATCGACTTGTACTACTTGGAAGCTTCCATCTCTAGCAGGCTTACTTCTTAGCGCATTCCAAATTTTTCCCAACTGTTCACTTCGTATGCATTAATCGTTCCTGGTTCCGGTTAGGGCACATGTGAAAAGTGATGGTTAGAGTGAAAATGTCCAGCTCGCTTTTTAGTAACGAGAACCAAAGGACACTAGGCGATTAGCAGAAAAATGTCATAACAGGAAGTACATGAAACGAGGCTAACATTTTTTAACTCCCACGACCGACTTTCTATTAACCTCGGCATTGATCAAGTAATTCTTCGTATTTTCGTTGAGCAAACGCGAGGTGTTATTATTCTTTATTCACGAATAAGCTAACGTTTCGGCGGATTTCGCCTTCCTCAGAGCCACTTTCTATGAGGTTTCCACTAAGTATGTCACGTAGAGACCAACAGCACAGAAATCACATGAAAGCAAAAACATTACGCTTCAATGTGATTTCTGTGCGGTTGGTCTTCACGCGATATACTTAGTGGAAACCTCATAGAAAGTGGCTCTGAGGAAGGCGAAATCCGCCGAAACGTTAGCTTATTCGTGAATAAAGAATAATAACACCTCGCGTTTGCTCAACAAAAATACGAAGAATAACATTTTTTAACTAACTGTCTGCTATGGAATCGACCGGAGGTAAAAATGTCACGTACCAATAAATTTAAAATGGCGTGTGTAGCGCAGTCGTTGGAGGCGCCACTGCGACACACACGTGGAGTCGATCCCCACGCCCATGGCGCACCAAGGCTTCCATCCCTCCGGGGTCGGCAAATTGGTACCAGACTTGTCTGGGAAAATAGCAGCACTGGTTTGATACATCGGTAGGCCACTATGAGTCATCGTAAAGGCCAGATATGCATTCAATCACCTCCAACGATGCTTAGTGAAGTCGAATGCATGGCGCATCCCTCAGGGATATTGATCTTACGTAAATCTTACGCCAACGTACAACAACAGCCAAGAGATCCCGTTCCTTCAGGTAACGACGCCTTTGTTAAGAAATTTCCTAATGAAACGTTGTAGACGGTGTTCATGTTCGGTTATGGTCGACCACGGAAGCTTTTCATACTATATGAGCGTGTTCCTGGGTGTTGGGCTGCGATATACAGTGGGGGGATTCGTCCCCCCGGCAGGGTCTTCCAAGCTGAGAAGGCGTCCGACGTTTCCATCAGGAATCCTAGCTAAGAGTGAACCAATACCAGGATCCACCACCGTCCTGGTATCAAAGAACCACATCCAAACCGTTTCATAGGCCACAGAAGTCTTTCGAAAGTACCATCTGTCCTTTGTCCTATCCTTTGCCGACCACAAAAAAGCCTATGAATTTGTCGGCACGAATGCAATATTATCACCGCCCATTGACTAAGGAGCTGTCCTGCCCTATATACGAAGACCAGCTGTTGTTGAAACTGCAGCACCTTTCTATATATACCTTTCTCGTTCCATCACCCACCCCTACCCATAGGAAAAGGGGTTTGACAGGGTGACACAAAACCTCCAAAGCAGTTTGTCCCCGTGTTGCTGCGGGTAATGATGTCAATCGGTTAGGGAGAGAATGGCATACGTATTGATAGAAAGTTTCCATCAAATCTTCGTTTCGCGAAAAACATTGTCGTCTTTCCGAATAGTGCCAACGAAGCAATGAGGATGCTCAGTGAACTCAACGATGCTAGAAAAAGATTGGACCGCGCATAAGTAGGACGAAGACCCAGTTCATGAGGAATCCATATTGCGAACTCAAACAAATCGAACTCAGTAGTTCCCTGATTACACAACCCACCTTGTACGTGCACCTTGGAACACGGAGAACCACTTGAAGGATAGGTTAGCCAAAGGACGAAAGCAGTATAGGCCCCATCCAGGTCTCTCAAAGAAGCCACCGGCCAAATAATGTGTTCAAAGCCCCCACTTTGACTTTCGATTCAGCAGTTCTCCAAACGCTCTGTTGAGCCCCAGATACGTGGGGTGATACATCAACCACGTCAAGAACTCTGCACACGACCCACAGAGCATTTGAATGCTGCCTTTTGAAATTTAATCGGCACTCACAACTTCTAGCCGTAATGCACTGAGATCATCGAAACCTACCACATCATAGGGTTCCAGGAGAATATACATCAGTAGCTAAGCACAGATGGGCCGTTCACATTGTGAGAAGAACAGATGATGGCGAGAGGAATAGTGGGTCGGACTCCAAGAGAATGTAACAAGCGTCTTCTTGGACGACCCCAAAACGATAGGCGGACGTGTACGTGACTAACATCAAACATCTACACTCGCAGATGGAAACGGTTTTAGGAGTTTCGAAATGGGTCTCGCGGACGTCACCATGTTCGAAGCAAACCACTACTATGGACGAAGACTACGCGAGATAGAAGCGAATGTAAGTTATGCTAGGCACCACCTGTGAGGATTGGTGATCCAAGTATCAAAGCAAACATCTATGCTTTATGTTTTGCTACCCACAAATCCCATTCCATCGTCCGCAATCGGATTTTCGCAAGTACAGCGTTTTAAAAACACCTGTCCATTGCTTGGCCTCAGTGTAAAATCTGTGTACGACGAGCCACCGACTGAGTACAAAAAGTTTGGCAAAAATGGTCCGTCCATGCGGCGAAACAGACGAGATAAATCGGGCGCATTGAAAAGCTATGCGACCTGAAACGGACTATAGCGTACATATTGAAATGGATCTGCACAGTGGGGAAAACGTCTCTGTCGCGGAGATAATCTTTGTGATAGCCGAAATTTTCATAGGCTTTTCATTGACATGTGCGTCATTAGATTAACAGGAAGACAGTTTTGCCTTTATTTGTATCAAGCTTTACAATTCCTCTTTACCAGTTCATTTGCCTACGTTTGTTGTGTCTTTAAATGCCTCGACTACTTTTTGGGGTTAATAGATAGGCGGTCTGGGATTTCCCTCGAGTGAGCCAGAAGCAGTCATTGACTGCTCTTGGCACTAAGGGTACCCCTATAAATATTTTTATGAGCTATATAACAAGATCGAGAGCAGAAATCCAGTATTTTCCAGTGAGGCAACTATTGGCCCAAAGTGATGAACTCGACAAGATAAAACCATTTCGCCAGAGTTATTCAGAACCGCTCTTGATATTTTCATGCAGAAAGTAATGGAATAACATGGGAAGACAGTGACTGACAGATGCACCACTTTCTTTTTATTGATAATGTGGTTCACACAAAATCTAGCATTAGTCAGATGTCAGTCTCAAGAAAACGGTGTTCACGACAAAACAATGTATTCCTAATGCTACATTCCCTCTCAAGAGAGAAAATATATGCCAATGCTATAGGTATCTAGGCTTACTACTTAATACTTGACATTTGAATGGCCCATCCTCACTGGCTGTGTGGTTCCCAGCATAATCTCTATTTTTCGGAGATCTGCTGATTAAGCCATTGTCCCGAATTCGGAGGTCAGCTTGGCCAAAGTCTGTCCCAAGTCTTCGCCATTACAGTCAGTCGCAGCCCTTGTGGATCAGAGGGAGATTCGCCGCTATGCGACTTTGATACCAGGACGGTGGTGGATCTTGGTATTGGTTTACTCTTAGCTAGGCTTCCTAACGGAAATTCCGGACTCCTTCTCAGCTTGGGAGACGCTGCCAGGGGATGAATCCCCGCTGTACATCGCTGCCCGACACCCAGGAACACCTCCCAGCCACGATGAAGCGGTAAACCGTTGGGAGGGGAGCTTGGACAACTGTACTTAAGGTTAAAAATTATAAATGGAAACCTTTCTAGACAATCTATAACTCATTTCTAGTGGTATTGCAATTCTACGCTTAAATAACGGCATCCATTGTAATAGATGGAATAAACGGTTGTCTATATTTATTTTGTGAAAGTATTCGAAGTATCATTAGACATTTCTGCAAGTCTTTATCAGTCCAAATCGTGGGCATCATTCCTTGATGGCAACTTTTCACGAGACTCTTCTCTAAGTGTCTGTAGATTGGGCCGCGCATATATACGTGACGTTGGCTGCTCCAGAGATAATGGTGTCTCTATGATGCCGATTCCTGAAACTAAGCAGCGAACATTTTGCACAAAAGCAAAGGGTAACTCTTGCCATGCGCCTGAGGGCATTCAAACAGCTTTCCAAAATCGCATTGTTCCTCGATGTCTACTGTCTTTTTCTCCCTTGAATTGGACGATTTATCACACCAAAGTTATTTTCACATCGCACGGAGAAGATTCCTATCTTAAAAACGAACTGTTAAGGAAAGAAACAACGGTTTATGAAGGTACGGACAGTATCAAATCAAATTCAGCATCAACGCGATTACACATGGAGGCGCTGATGGACTGAGCTTGCATAATATCTACTGTGAATCAGAATAGGCTGTATCGCCTGTTTACTTAAAGATGTCCTATATACCTCACATGCCTTAGAAAGTTCAGTATATGCTGAAAGCAACGTACTTTGATGTAAGATTTTTTATCCCACTCAAGAGTTGCTTATGTTTCAAAACCCCGGAAAGATATATGGAAGAAAATAAGGGATACGTGGGATATTTCTTAGAGTTATCCGAGGTGTGTCACGTATGATTCACATATCAGCGTTAGTAAATATTTTATTTGCTCTTTCAATTTCCTAGATTTTTTTAAAAGCTAACTGTTGATTTACAAAAAAGCAACGGAATAACGTTAATGTAAGTATCAGCGAGTGTTTTCTACAACTTCACCTTGACTTTCTATTCTTGAGTGCATCATCCTCGGTGGAAAAATTAGAGGCGGCAATGGAGAGAGAACAGCGGAGGGCATGTCCCTCAGTGCAAGGTTAGCTGAAAAGCTCAATCTCAGACCATGACATATGTGTTGGAGAAGGTTAGTCCAGAACGTTCCGAATAGTTTCTTTTTTAACTTTTTAATTACTACCTACTACAATTTTTCACGGCAGGGTATTATGTGTGATACAACCGCAACGATGCTGAAACGTTTGCAAAACTCCGGACCACAGGTGTCTGCGGTGGAGGAACAAACGTGCTTTTATCCTTTCCGGGAGTTTCTTTTTCTCTTTTCTTGAGAAGACAAAGACATGCACGCAAGCGCAGCTACACATAAAGTGAGCTAAAAAAATTTCCTGGCTTTCTCCTAAATATTTAACCAGCTTTTTAAATGCCTTTCAATCTCGGATAAGAACTCACAAGGGAGTTCATTGAGCTGGGGAGCTTCTTGTTCAGCAAATTCCTCTGCGTCTTTCAAAAAACGTGAATGAGAAGAGATTCCTTTAAACCGTAGAATAGATAGAGACTGGTTTAACTAAAACCACATTATAATGACTCACTGGTTCGAAATTCGAGACCTGTAGTTGATGGCACCCCTAAGACGATTTCTGGTGGAGTAAACCGGTTCGTCATGACTGCCAAGGCGGCCATTGGTGAGAGCACTGTTCTCGATGATGCCAACAAGCTGTTTTGCTGGAAGTATATGGATCACAAATAATAAGGACAGAACTTACGGCTAACTAATTTTGGATCTAAACCTTAGAAAGATTTACACTAAAAAGTGCGACATTCCAGGACATTGGGGTGACTATAGACAAACTAGGCTAGCCGTTACTTAAAGGTAATATAAGAAGATGTGCTACGGAACGCTGCAGAAATGAAAATTTTCCATGTATGCGGTAGACATGTGTAGATTAGCAGCCGAGTAATTATTATGCTGGGTGATCCGAATTCATCACAGATTTGTGTTGTTTACTGTTAAAATGAGAAGGAGTGGTCCCTTCTATCTTAACTTAATTTATTCCAAAGTCCTAACTTTTCAGACAAGAAACCCTGTAGTGTTCTGGACTGACACTTATTCAGAAATATCGGTAAGGTAAAAGAAAACGTCAGATTTCTTCAAAAACTGACATTTATTCAATATCGACATTAGCAATCAATATTTTGTCCTTACAGGAGACTGTTAAAAATAAAATGCTAAGGCTCTCGGCGTTGATCAATGCCTGAGGGATGCGCCATGCATTCGACTTCGTTAAGCATCGCTTAGAGTGGATTGCACACATATCTGGCCTTTATAATGAGTCGCGGTCGCTACCGATGTATCGAGCCAGTGCTGCTACCCTCCCAGGCAGGTCTGGCACCAATTTGCTGACCTCGGAGGTATGGAAGGCCTAGTGGGCTATGGGCCCTGGGACCAATTGCACGTGTGTGTTGCAGGGCGCTTACGACCACCGCGCCACACGCGCACTACGAGACTGTTATAGGTCGGTATTGTGGCCAGCGTTCCAGTATCACAGAATTCCGGAATGATTGGAGTTGAATGGCCATACCAGTTACTTCTTGTAACGTGTGAGTGTTCCTTGTCACATCGAATCAAATCGAATGGAGTGCAACTCCTCACGGATCCACTGTGAAAGAGAGTGGTGCTGGTTTCGAGTCATTGCTTCTGAGAAAGTGTTTCTCTTTTCCCCTTCATTAAGTTGTAGCAGCCGAGCTCATGAATAACTCTGTTCAAAAACTAGTTGGAGATACAAGAAAATGCAATAAACGGAAGTGCTGGTTACCGCAAGTTATGTGACGACGGACCACCTAAGGATTCTATTAAAAGGAACTCCCAAGTCCGGCTTTCTATTAACCTCGGCATTGATTGAATATATCTTTCTACTTCTGTTCAGCAAACACGAGGTGATATTTTATTCCTTTATTTACTCACAAGCTGACGTTTCGGCGGATTTCGCCTTCCTCAGAGCCTGGAAGGGTCAAGTTGACAGCAATCCACTCGGCCAAACACCTCCATAACCAAACAGAGAAAACGCTAAACCAAGATTTCAATCACATTTAGCATAACTCTGCACACTCACCGCTTTCTATGAGTCTTCCACTGAGTATGTCGCGTGAAGAGCGACCGCACAGAATTCACATGGAAGCGTAATGTGCCCCTCCCATCAGAATAACAGGTTTATATACTGTCCAATATCACGCGTGATAACGAGGCATTCCTCCCTGCGGTTCATTTTCGGATTCTTGGAATTTATCCAGAATGCCTCAAGAGTTTTGCGCGCTTGTGTTCTCAATTCTTGCGCGAGGATCGTAACCCTTACTTCAAAATCTTCTCCGTTATGTTTCTGCGTGCTATGCGTACCTAGTGGAGTACTTAGCTTACGTTTGCCGACTAGGTGTTCTTTTATACGTACGCAGAGTGGTCTACCCGTTTCGCCAACGTATTCGTCCCCGCACGCTTTACAAGAGATCAGATAGACTGTACCCGAACTCATGCAGTCACCGTCTCTACCATTTGGGCAAATTATGCAATTTTGCGTTGCACATAGACGGTCGTATAGGTGGTTACGAACTAGCTAGCGCCTTAGATTATTCGGTGGTATTTCGATTATCGTTACCGAATTCTCTAGACTGGCCCTTCTTAAACAGCGTTTTATAGCTGCATTTACTTCATTTGAAATAAAGGGCAGTATAAACGGGACCTTGTTGTCGCTAGAGTTATCGTTGGGGTACCTGTGGTTTCCTCTACACCTATCTGGAGCTACGGTTTCGTAGCCATTAAAAATGACACTTTTAAAGGAGTGCCTGAACTGCTCAATCTTCTGATGGTCCAGGAGGTATTACGCACAAATGAGAGGGCTGGCAATGGGACAACGACTGGCTCCAAGCCTTGCCATTGCATTCATTTCTAAGGTGGAAGCGCTAGTAATCGACCTCGGTCCGTTACTCTACTGTAGATATATAGATGACTGCTTGGTCATTTGTTCAACGCAAGAAGAAATCGACAGATGTTTCGAGTTGTTGAACACACAGTCAGAGTATATTAAATTCACCCAAGAGAAACCAAAAGAAGACTGGCTTCCATTTCTGAACGTGCAAATTAGCCTATCAGAAAACGGCAACATTACGAAGTGGTATCGAAAGCCAAGTAGTAAAAACATCCTACTTCATTACCTCTCCTCTCATCCCTCTCACACGAAAAGGGCGCTTGTGAGAAACACGTATCGAACAGCTACCAGCGTGTGCACAGGGAGACAACAGAGAGAGGAGTCCCGGAACTTGGCGCGGCAAATAGCCATTTTTAATGGCTACGAAATCGTAGCTCCAGATAAGTGTAGAGGAAACCACAGGTACCCCAACGATAACTCTAGCGACAACAAGGTCCCGTTTATACTGCCCTTTATTTCAAATG